CTCTCTGCCGAGCCGACATATACGCATGCTGACTGAGACTCAGCCAAGCAGCATCATGTACTTGCATATTGTGTCTTTATGCGTCTCTGCGACCAGTCATGGTCGTCATTATTGGGCTATTTATGGCAACAACAATAACAATAGCAACAACAGTAAGGCCCCGATACAATCCCACGAACTATGCCCACCGTCAATGACAGGAAGAAACAAGAAGTGTAGTCAGCGCACATCTTAGCTAGTGCTGACATCTTGTATCCAATGGCCAAAGACTAATATGATCCTTACCGTCAGTATCGAACACTAGTGAGAAGTTTGATAATTCTACGAACGTCACCTAGACCGGTGATATATATAGCCCGTCGCAACAAACCGACTCAACCACCAACAGCGCCCATCCTCGTTACCCACGACATTTTAAACAATGACAGCGACAGCTACCACAATAAAAACAACATCAACAACAGCCCTAGGAGCAGTGGCGGCATTAGAATCACGCAAGACGGCACGCTGCTGTACTGCGTTAAACTAGCTATTGTTCTGTGTGGCTAGTAGTTTCCAGGAGTCACAATTTTCTGTTGACAGAACTCACACTATTGGCAGCAAATAAAACTGGCTGTCTCCATTTTGTCGATATCATTCTTGGGGAAGAGGAAGAATACCAGCTATATTCCGGCTGCTTCGTCAGTTACCACCAACACCATAGAACAAATGCAAGCAGCCAGATTTTTCATGTTAAAGCTAGGTTCATGGGGCCCCTCCACCCGGCTTAGTTCCGTTCAGTCTGGCTTTATATGCGTAACCGCTATGCCTCGCCGCAGCGATTCCATGGAGCCAGTGTTAACAAACCGTTACTACCTCCACAGCTGTTGTCGTTTTGTTGCTTAGTAGTATCGAGACAGCGACGCCTTACTTCTGACGCTAATCTCATGTAATATACCGTTGCTTACAGTAATTTCGCTGAGCAATGTTAGGAACAGACAACTCTGTCTCCAACTATAGGACACAACGGGCACAACAATTTCTCCTGCTATGGAGCCTGCAATGCTGCTAATGAAGTAGTTCTTTTACCTTGAGCCTTCACTACCGCCTACCGCTTTTCTTGAGAAACTAGCTAGTCTGTAACACTCTAGGCGAAGCGCTGCGTACGGCTAGGTACCGTGGTAACCCCTGATGGTAAGCGAACGATTGAGTCAGCTGGAATTCTAGACGACGATCGAGCGTTTGATCCGTCCGAGCTTAACCTGTCGCACGTAACTTTTCGGCTATTGAAAGTCCAAGGAATTGGGGTCGTGTTAAATTTGCCGTGAGGTTTAGCCCAGAGAAAAGAAAAATAAACACGACCTAGAACTCTGCAATGGTCGAATAGCGAAGGACAGCAAATCGTAAAAACTGTAGTAATTAACGGACAACGAATGGAAGGTCGTAAGAGGATGCATTAAACCAGTGTTTTTTGGCCCGTTGTTGGATATAATCAAGAGTTTTGGGCACGATTCTTTTGTGACGATCCTCATTTTGCGATCTGTGTATAGCAGTGTGTTTTTTCATACGAGTGAACTATATCTATAATTGTTGAACAAAAAAGCAGAGACAAACAACAAACGTTGACTGAGAAACTTCCCGAGTACCTCCGTGTACTGATTGTGGATGGCTTTCGGCGAAAGTGAACGTGTTTGGTCGCCAGGTGAAGGTCTCTGTCTAAGTCGGACCCTGGGCCTTTGAACTCCGATACGCTCGATGCGGATAACGAAATCGTGATTTTGTACAGCCACAACTGGTAGTACGAACGTGTACTTTCCCTGATTGCGGATATATCAACACAAAGCATGGTTATCTGTATAGCTTTTGTCTAAGGAAAGCATCTGAGTGGGGGAATATCTTTCCTCAATGAGAACCTTGGTTGACTTGCGAGGTTCTTTCATATATTTCGACGGTGATAATTGTTATGGACTTCTATGCATGTGAAGGACTGGTAATGCTGGAGCTACTGACGAACAATAGCACTCAACCTTTGGCCACAAACGAACCCCTAAAACGATACCGTCAATTAGGCTGGTGTGGTGGTATTCCGTTATTTTAAATAACAGAAAAACACAAGAAAAGCAAATATGATTTGTCGCAAAATTGTTTGCACTGACTTGTAGAAAAAGATCAAATGCACATTTTCTGCTATAACCAGTTCCAACAACAAAACTAGGTTCCACAAACTGCCTGGGCCACTCCCTTGCTCAGTTTCAAACCTTTACCCATCGACACCCTCAACATCAAGTGGCAAAGTAACCCTTTTCTACCGGTACTTGCAGAGACTGCGAGGACTCCTGGAGTGTCGTTATTTCACCCACATGCGTTGGTCTTAAATCGCACTGCGTACTGCGTGTCCGCCGGCTCAAATTTAGGTCCTCGGTTCAGGCTCTCGGGTTAGTCGGGCTCTTTGGCTCCTCGTGTTCCTGCTGTTGATGCCGCCAGCCTTCGAGCGATTCGTTCATATATTTGCACTGATACCAACATACGCATGAAGATTAGCATCGTGGCCTAACCTATATCCCGACATACTTGCTTCTCCCCTGTGATGCTATCTCTCGCTCTTTGTAGTTCACTTTGACATTCCGTTTAGCCATTACGCAGTGTTTCCTATAAATCTGATAAACAAGGGAGCAGCTACCTAAAACTCTCCCGTATTGTAAACGGTGCTCGCAGGGGGATACAAATAGGAACGAAAGGTCCTAACAGCGGCAGTAGCCGCCGGAGCCTCAGCGCGTACGAAGAGTCGAAGCAAAAGAGACGCCGTTGTTATTTGTTTGCTCGCTCCTCAAAGGGGCGGCTGCTTTCCGGGCCATAGGACACCCTAAATAGGCCAAAACACAGAGAGAGAGAGAGAGAGAGAGAAGATATGACAAAAACGTTGTTTTTTTCGACGTCCCATTTAGAGCCATCTGTCATGTCCTTACTTTCCACTGTGTAGTTAACCGCTTGTCCAGATTTCAATCGCGTGTACTGACATGTTCTAGTAGCTCGAAAGTAAAACCGCACAAGTGGGAATCGAGGACAGAACAATTGCAGAGAATTGTCAGTAACTCTGGCGAATTTGTGCCGGTCGCTTCGCCGCGATGTAATAAGAAGGGCAAAGGTTTAATCGTTAGGGGCAAGCGGCCAGACAAGGAAGAGACGTCGCCGGACTTAAAAGGGAGCCCTTAGCGCAGAGGGGTTTGAGGTGTTAGAGACCCTCCATAATACGTTACAACGATACCTATCACGGGAGAGCCCCTGAACAGGCTACACAGGATGGACAAAAGCTGAACCGATATGAGGGTAGACGAATCGACAACCTAGAAACGATCTCGTCCGGAAGAAAAGAACCGCAGAAATAGCTATTACTGGAAGTGTTAGCGAGGGCGGTATACGCAAAAGGTAGCGTGTAGGAGTCAACTTTGGCTAAGGATAATAGAACATGCGTGACGTTTAGGGAAAACGGAACAAACGGAATCAAAAGCTTGTCTAATACGTATAATTCTATAATAATGATACTGTAAAAACCTCGTTCGACGCTGCGCATGCCACTTGCATGCTATCAGAATCTGGTGTCAATTGAAGAACAAGTGAACAAAGAGGAACTCTTAAAAACGTATGCCGATGGTGGCGCCGTTGTCTGTCCGCCGACGGCATCGAAGTCATGTAATAATCTAATCGACGTAAATATTTTTCAATAAGAACGTTGACCTCACCGTCAACCATGGCCACTCTGCAAGCGTACCGAGACATTTCAAAGTCTACAACGCCAAAGACATTGTTGCTTTTGGGGGCTAACATGAAGGAGACTGATTCAGCACTTCCATACACTCGTCACAAGGCACAGAGCATCGGTGGCAGCAGTGCGTGTGACAGCACAATTTTACGGAACCCGCACGTGCTTCTACGAACGGTGAATTCCTTAGAGGATCGTAGGCTCCGAGAACGAATCAGAGATAGAACGATTTCAACATCGGCGAATCGTGTAGACACCGCAAAGCATCCAGTGAAACGGGGGGTTAATCAGCCTCAGCCGTGGAAGCTGGAGACAAAAGACTTCATCAGAGACTCCGACATGGACTCGTTCGAGAGCGTAAGCGAGGAGGATGCGAATCGAAGAGAAATTGTGGAAGCCCTTGGGCCACTGGCGAAAGCCGTCTCGCCGCTTTTAGCTGTTCGGTCGAGGTATACGCACATATGCGATAATATACAATATTAAAATACAACATAGATGAGATAGATATGGCAATATCTGTTCGACTTGCGTGAGCCACCTAAAAATACGGTCAGACTTTGTGAAAGCAAACATAACGTTAGACAATGGCGACACTACTAGTGTGATAATAAAATAACATCCAATGAAACAATAGCCTTCGAGGTTTCTAAGACTTTATAATAGTCACAATTCAATGACTGGGGTTGCTTGCCTTTACGTGTATGACGCCTTCACCAAATACGATTGGTATATCCGCTCAAGATATTTTATAAGAGACATAATAGTTTGTATTTTAATGAAATACGAACGATTTAGTTACCATTGATATCATCGTAGGCATGTAGGATTATTGATGCGATAAAGATTCCACGTTCTGAATATTTTTTCCAACAAGTGTTTCTACATCTTACTACTAATGTGCACCACTCTAGTGTGCCTGTTTTTAAATAGAGCTCGTTACACAGGTCCAATGATCTATTGCGAACCAGCTTTGTTAAGATTAAGTATAGTCGCACAGAAAAAAAAAGATATATATATATATATATATATATATATATATATATATATATATATATATCTAACAGGTGTAAAATGAAAAGATATTTCACTTTATAAATATATATCTGGATACACCATTACGAACTCTTCTTCACCGATCATTAATATAGTACATTTTTAGGTGTATGAACAAATTACTGCAAACGCTATGACAATGTATCAATAGGTCCTTGTCATCACTAGGGAAGTTTCAGTGTATTCGATTCACTCTGATTATTTACAGGGAACAGCCTATGTTTTCGACGAAGGCGCATGTGTTCCACATTGATCCGAAGACGAAACGCTCGTGGATTCCAGCCTCTAGCCATGCCGTGGCTGTTTCGTTCTTCTTTGACGCCTCTCGCAACCTTTACCGAATTATTTCAGTTGAGGGCACCAAGGTACGCGCTTAGCTGTCATTAACTAATTCACTGTAATTCATCAAAAAAAACATAGACACAAAATAAAAATACATTTAAATGCCTAGTGTGTTAGCCAATTTGAACCAAACGCTTTTTACTCGGTTCTGTTCGACACTTTTCGGAGCTAGCTAGACGCGCATATCGTTTGCAATACTGTGCCTTAAGTTACTAAACTTTATTCTTCAGTTCACTGAGAGGTCGCAACGTTTCAATAAGCCAGTGACTTGTGACGGGCCCACGATCCCATAAATTTCTTTTTGTTTTTACTTCTTGCCATGACTCCGTCCTTAGCTTCTCTATTGGGAACTGCAGCATTTTACGAAGAGCTCTTACATTGTTGGGCACAAGAAATAGCGAGTCGGCGTTCGGCACCCGTACGGCAGTACGAACCCAGTCACTGCTTGCATTTAACTATATGACTCACTAATGGATAAATAATCAGCGAGATCAAAGTCGTCGGAATAGAAAAGTGTTGTTTCCTTTTCATATATACCCCTTTCACTACAATTTCCACTTTGAGGTCTTGTGACTTCTCTAAAAGTTGACTTTAACAAGTACAAATTTCCTTAGTTAGCTCTATGTTTCAAGTCGAACCTTTGCCGTAATTGCTCGCTGGTTGAAATGAGCTAGCCATGGCTAGTTATTCTATTTTAGGAGTTCTGTAGCTTTTTGACTGGTATCACTATTTGTAATCGATCGAGCCAATGTTATGGCTCCCATTAAGCAGAAAAAGCGCAGGAAGGTCAGAAACACGACTTGTTTGCTTCCTTAAAGCCCAAAGCTCTACCTATCTAATACGAGACTGTATCAAAGTGCGACAAACATCATAGGAAACGTCGACAAGTTTGGCTAAGTCTATGGCGCTCTAAATGATATTGAGTGCTGCCTTTTAGATTAAAACATTTGCCCCCGCAATCAAAGACTTGAATACTGCTATAGATGTAGCAGTCCAAGTTTGTTTGATGTAACTCAAAGAGTAATGGGCTTCAACAGTAACAAATCGCAATAATTAACTTCGGCAACTCAACTATATCGGAACCCTTATATGTCTGCCTCACTTATTGACAGCAAGAAGTACACTCTGGTCATTGGAAGTGTCCGTAAACGAAACTAACTTTGTTAAACTACGCTATATAGATGCACCAAGTGTTATCGTGACTAAGCCATTTGGAGCTGCCAAGCTCAAAATCGCAGTGGATGAACCCACGGCGGCGTTTGAGTTCATCATAGATATAGGCACAACTCCGTGATATTATAGTACGTTGTTTTTTTGCCAATAATAGGCGGTAATTAACTCGACGATCACACCTTCAATGACATTCACCAAAACCTCACAAAAGTTTGGCCAGTGGTCGGACATTCGAGCCAACACGGTCTACGGGCTTGGTTTCCAGACAGAACCAGATCTCAATCAGGTAAGATAACATCCACTTCATGTTGGGGGCATACTGGCCGATTACTGGAAGGATCATATCATTAACCTAAACTTTAAAATGTCTACTTTATTGCGCCTTTTCCCTCTTCTCGCCCCTATAATTCAATGATGAGCATCACTCACGTTTTGTGCATCAGCGTAAAAGCGTTACAACTAGTGATATTGACAATATTATTTTGTGGCGCAGTTTATCGAAAAATTCCAGGAAGTGAAGGAAAAAACTCGAGTGGGTCACCCTCAAGTTCAGAAAGGTGCAGCAAATGGCGGTGCGTCGGGCAACGAGGGATCGCCGAGCTCAACACTTGTTCGCGCCGCTCAAACCAACGTTCAAGGCCATCCAGGACATCCTAGTGTGGCACTCGCGGCAACCCTTGATACTGGTGGCCTCGCCGAGGACAGCCCAAAGCATAAGGCTGGCCAGGGGGGCCAAGGGGCACAACCAGCTAATCAGCTACCACAGTCTACGGTTGAAGCGCAACTTCGATACGAAAACGATAGGCTCAAACTTGCTCTGGCACAAAGGTACGCGTATACAGTCATTCATAGAACCGCAACGAGAACATCATTAAATGGCTTCTAGCGCACCATTCTTTAGCAAAAGCTTTTGTTAACCTATCCCTTCTTTACTGCCAAAAAAAATTGCATGCGATAAATCTGTACTTTATACAAAGTATGGATTTTTAATAAACTATACAGTAATTTACTATCTCGGCATATATATATATGCCGAGTATCATAAATAATGCGTATTACATCGTGTGGAATAGAATTTGCGACAGAACAACCGGCCATATTTCTTGAACCGTCCTTAAGTTAGGTGCATTGCTTCAGATAATACTAACGTGGTGTAAATGAATCTCTTGTTGAAATGTGTCTGCTCAGTTCGGCGAATGCCAAAAAGTGGGAGGTGGAGCTGCAGACGCTAAAAAATAATAACGCTCGATTAACAGGCGCTCTTCAGGAGAGCACCGCAAACGTTGAGGAATGGAAACGTCAGTTGCACGCCCTTAAAGGTGAGAAGGGCAACCAATGCATCTAAGAACTACACGTTTGTATATCTAAACGTATTCAATATACTTAACGTAATGAAGACTGCAAATGCCGCAACGCCGTTTTTTTTTTCGCAATCGGATTGCTTCAGATGAGAATACGAAGATGCGGTGTAGAGAGTTGGAAATTGAGGCGTCTCACGGAAATCAAGAAGCGCTCACGGAGCTCGGCAGGGAATTGGCTGTACTTCGGCAACGTAACGAAGGTCTTGATGCCGAACTTCGTCAAAAGGAAAAAGCAATCGAAACTCTTCGGGCGGCTGTACAAACGGGATCCGGCCAACACCAAAACGAGCGACACAAAGTTAGTAGGCGTCTTTCTGTCCTGCTAAAGTTTCAAGCAGAAAGAGACAGTCGTTTAAAAGCATCAATTCCTCTCCTTAATTCAAATAGAGTCTATGTGCAAAACTAATACTTAATAAATTCGGTCATTATATTATATTTGAAGAAAATTCTAGGTAATAATGCCACGTTATATCAACATCGCATAGGACGCCAACGAAACACACAGATCCTGCCCAGTTGGATACAAAAATACTACTCAAATGAAAACAGATACGCTAAACAATGCACCTTTACACTTCCAAAAATTTCAATTACCTATTTTATCTGCAATTATCTCCTTTCACTGGCTTTAGTCTGCCTTTCCAAGAAATTCTCTAACGCCCCTATTTTTTAATCATAAAAAAAAAAAGTATTTTACGTTTGGTTCTACTACCTTAATTGCCTCAGCCTTAATGGCCGCCTCTAACGTCCGGTTTCGCAGTTGGGTCACACCACGTCTCCGTAAATTTAGTAGACAGACTCATCATTACTGCGCTTTCACGAGGTCATACTCTTTTGTACTAACTTATGAGCTTATTATTGTCAAAATTTTTCCCCTTTACTCATTAGGCATTGTTGGCCGAAAACGACAGTTTACGAATATCCGTCTCCCGGATGCAGGAACAGCTCGACGCTCAGTTACGGTCGTCTGGCGCGGCGACACCTGGCGTCTCAGCCCGCCAGCCTGCCCTCGAACAGTTGAGCGCTCGACTCGAGAGTAAAGTCTCGGAACTGCGTGATTTGCAGACCGAGCTTGCAGCATTGGTTTTCGCTCCACCACCACCCCCGCAAACGACCAGTACGGGTTCGACGGCTGGGCCATCCTGAGGCCCGGCTTTACCAGGGTCGCCCTGGTCAACCGGTTTTAGGGCGTCCCCCGATCTGCCTGTACCATTGCCTTCGATGCTGGCTCAGGTACAAGCAGGGCTAACTGGGACGCTCTTTGGTCAAGGGCAGCATCCCCCACAACATTATTCCAGTCATGAGGTGCTCCTTAAATAGACACGACGAATAATTATAAATTAACTCTGATGGTGAGAATGCGATGGAATGGCAAAAAGTGCACGGAGAAAAGATCATCCTCATCACCGATAATAACATACCAATAGTGAAGGTAACAAATGCTAACTAACGTTTGCTGCAAATGATCTGGAATTGCAACCAATACCGAAACGTGCGTAACTCCTTACAACATGAATCCAATATGTACAATATATGCTGAAACAAGGATGGTATCGTTAACATTTAAGGATGACCTGTCCACATAATGTGTTGCTGCGAGCTCTATCGTTCATTGTACTTGCTCAACCACTGAAGTCAAAAGGAGAGGGTCAAAAAATTAAAGCGTAAACAAATAAGAAAGTATTGATGGATTAGTTAGACCGAATGACTGACGAAGCAAGGATACGGATATATTTACAGGGACAAGCACATCTTGCCCGCGCTTCAATGAAGCAGACGAAATTATAGAGCATAACAACCCCGATGTGTCGTTGTCGCCTGCTAGAGCTCTCATTCCTCTTGAATTGGTTGAAACTGCATACAATTTTCAGCATTTCGTATAAAAACGCAAACAGAAGGAGGTTTATTTCGCTGTTAATAATAGTGTAATAACTTGCACATGCAGTGCCTGAGTGTGAGCGTGAACATGGACGTCACGCCGTCTAATACATGAAATAAATATAGATATGAATATATTTATATATTATGTATAAGTAAACCAGCGATGAATGTCAACCATAAGCGGTATGCGCACCAATGTGACCAAAATAAAGTATATATATATATATACATTCGACGTGACGCAAAAGAGTGACGTGCTATAGGTTTCTAATAGAGGTAGATATGTAAAGACGAAAGATTGTTGCGAAACTCAAGCACAAAAGCGGGTACTGTAGTTACGGTATCTTTATACGAAGCGATGAAAAATATAACAAATTGGTTAATTACAGATTAATAGGTAACATTTATTACTCGAGAAAATGCTTGAGATCTTCCGAAGCTTTTCTTGATTTCTGCACAAAAAAACAAGACAAAATGGCGACTTCTGCTAACCCACTTTTGCGTTACTCCCTTCTTACACGATGGGTTACTATAGGCGAACGAGGTCCACAAAACGATCATTAGAAATAACATAACAAATGAGTAAGAGGAACAACAGAGAATCGATGAACGTCGATGCACTCAAAATACGCCGACAAACCGATCGGCCCTAACTCCCAGCGAAGTATCGGCCGTCGAAGTCAACCATAAAGACGAATGATGACCTTAGGAAGCTTATGGAAAAAAAAAGGAAAACGTAATATGTATTCACAAGATCAAGCTAAACACCGAACGCCATCGAGTCACTTGCGGTCTCAACTTGTCTTTTTTATATCGTTTCCCGTCTTTATTATTGCTACCTCCTGCGGTTTGCGGTTCGTCATCTGTGTACAATGGCTCATCCGTTTAAAGCTTAGCAATAGACGCCTAGGGCTTCAATTGACAAAGTCCTCCTTTGATCCATATACACCGCCTCTCTCTCCCTCCGTTTCGATAAAAGGGATATCTCACAACGATGAACGGACGAGTTTAGGGCGTATACTGATTCCAGTAAAGTTGAATCGAAGCGTGGTTAACGTCTTTAGTAGCGTGGCCTACAACCCTTTGTAAACCATTCCATATCGATGTAATAGTGGGAAGCTGCGGTCAATATAGTAGCTAAAGATGTGACTTAGCGGGAAATCAAGCTAACTGAAAAAAGAGGAGGTTAGATTTAGTGACGAGAAGTCGAGCTGAGAGCGGCATTAGTTTTCCGTGTAGTCTATAGGATGAAGATTCCTCGTTTCATCTAAGCTCAAGATTAAATATCTGTTAAAAAACAAAACTGCTGTATGGCGAATAATCCACCCCCTCGAATACCCGACCGCCCACCACCTGTTAGATTTTTTCGCAATGTTTCGCGTTACAAGCATAGAAGGAGGGCAAAGTTTTTGTGATTATCTACTACGACTAATAACTGGTTATGGATCAACAAAAAGGTTTTAGCGTTGTGGAAACTAGGGTTACTCTAAGGACACTAAGCCATATGTCTGCACGCACTATACCACTTGTTAAAATGCTTATATATCATCAAGCTAAAATGAACCTATAACCAAAAGCAATGCGTAAAGTCCAGTTGCACAACTTATCGAAGACGATATATGGCAGGCGACTTTATATAAAGTATTTGGTGCATTTGCGCAATATCGGTTTGTTGCGGTAATTCGTAAAAACAGATTGACCGATTTAGTTAGCTACTCCGAGTTAGCCCTCTTTATTTCAGGCTCAAATAACGTTTCAGCTAAGAGAAAAATATAACGTGGGACTTACAAAGAGAAATGCCTGGTAGCAACCGTTAGTATTAGTATTACAGCGAACTGAGCAGAACGTTCACACTTAGATCCATGTAGAAATCTTGTCATTCCTATAAATGTATATATCCGTGTACGGGGTAGGTGAACGAGAAGGGAAGCCGTGATAGGGATAGCTTGCTGTCGTTCTATTTGCATCTACTTGTTTAAACCCCCTGCCCAGGCTGGATATTGGGCTGGTAATGATTTTTTTGTGTAGTTGAGAAGCGCAGGCAGCTAGTTGCAAAAGTCATTCTATTACCATGTAGTGACAACGTAAATAGCGGGTATCTAAGAGCAACCGTCCTTACGCCAGTGCCTATTAAACGTTTTTCTTTTGAGAACAATTTCGCCTAATCTAGACTTTACTACGTACAAGCGAAACAGCACAGAGACAACACGATTTTGAAAGCGTTGAAAGAAACGAGCTAAGAACTTAACCGTGTTAAACAGTTTTTCCTCTCGCATTGCTTGCCTTGAGGATCGATTCAGTTCGAAATATCGTACGATCCTTAGCTTGCCACAGGCATCAATTGCGGAGAGAGAATCTTTCTTAGAGAAATAGTCGTGTCCGCGAATATAACCTCCGAAAAGACTCCCGCCGAAAAGTTTCTTCTAGTCTGCAATAGCCGTGGAATACCGCTCAGTATAGCATCCTACTCAACTCTTCTCAGCCATCGGAAATCGTCGTAGTCCATGATCCCCTCATACGACGTAACCCTGGTTATCCGTTCAAATGAAACAGTTAGCGCGCTTGCATAAACTCGGAGCCAGCCAATTAACTAACTTAAGCTGAAGGGAGAGCCCTATTTAAGCTGACTGTGACAGTAACTTAGTACGTTCTGCTAATTTCAAAGGTTGATCTGGGTGCAAGTATAATAATTGTAAGCTGGTCGCAATGCGTAAAAACATAGTGCAAGGTTCGACTTGAGCCGAACAGACCGGTGGGACCCACGCGATTGCGTATGATGTGTCGCGCGTACACGTAGGAATCGGCGAAGGCCACGACGAAATGAAGAGTAATGAACAAAAGGAATCAAATTAATGATTATTAGATATATTCATATAGATACCTATATA